CTAATCACAAAACTCTTTCATGATTGCGGTCCGCCACGCGTAAGGCCTTCCCTGCCAACCGAACGTCGCACCGAGCCTCAATTGTAATTACCGATAGATCCGAACAGACTTAGGTTTGCATCATGGCAGACTACGATGAAGGTTACGAGTACGAGGAGGAGTATAGCGATGATAACACTATTACCCCAGAAGATTGCTGGACTGTTATCGGCTCCTACTTCAAGAGGAAGGGCTTAGTTTCCCAGCAGATCGACTCTTTCAACGATTTCCAAGAAACTACCATTCAAGAATTGATCGAGGAGTATTCGCAGATCAGCGTCGATGAGCCCAGTCCCAACTCCAACGATGCCCGAACGGTCGCGCTCCGTCGATATGACCTCAAACTTGGGCATGTGACCATTGCCCGTCCCGTCGCCATGGAAAGCGACAACACATCGGGACCTCTCCTGCCTTATGAATGTCGCGATCGAAACATGACGTATGCAGCACCGATCTATGTGAAAGTAGATAGTAAAGTAACCGTCTGTATCGAACAAGACATTCCTCTCCACGAGATGGACGAGGAGCAGCAGGCCGAGGCGCACAGTACTGGGAAGCACCCGACTCGCTTGATTTGGGAAGAAGACACCAACATATTAGACTCCGAGGGCGGCCAAAGCAAGACTAGTGATCAAGTTTTTATCGGCAAGCTCCCGATCATGGTGAAGTCTAAGGCGTGCCACCTAAGCGGCGAGACCGAAGATGATCTATTCTTGTTGAACGAGTGCCCGTACGACCAAGGCGGTTATTTCATTATCAACGGAAGCGAGAAGGTCCTCATCGCCCAGGAACGTTCCGCTGCGAATATTGTTCAGGTTTTTAAGAAGGCCCAGCCGAGTCCGTTTTCTTACACGGCCGAGATCCGCAGTGCTCTCGAGAAAGGCTCGCGGCTTATTTCGTCCCTTATGCTAAAGCTGTATACCAAGGGTGACGCCTCCAGAGGAGGATATGGCGAGACCATCCACACTACTCTCCCGTTCGTCAGGGCTGACCTACCGATCGCCATTGTCTTTAGAGCTCTGGGCGTCGTTAGCGACGAGGAGATTTTAAATCACATTTGCTACGACCGCAATGACAGCCAGATGCTTGAGAAGCTACGTCCTTGCATCGAAGAAGCATTTTGCATTCAAGACCGCGAAGTGGCGTTGGACTATATTGGAAAGCGTGGAAGGCAGTCTCACAACGTAGCGCGCGACCGTCGTGTCAGAGCTGCCAAGGACATTTTGCAGAAGGAGATGCTTCCGCATATCTCCCAAACCGAAGGCTGCGAAACCAGAAAGGCCTTTTTCCTGGGCTATATGGTTCACAAGCTCCTTCAATGCGCCCTCGGTCGACGCGACACCGACGATCGCGATCACTTTGGTAAGAAGCGTCTCGACCTTGCAGGCCCCCTCCTTGCGAAGCTATTCCGGAATATTGTTCGTCGGTTAGTCCAGGAGATCACAAACCACCTCAGACGATGTATCGATTCGGGCAGGCGTTTCCAAATCGAGCTCGCCGCCAAGCCTGCTATCGTAACCAACGGGCTGAAGTACTCTCTCGCCACAGGCAACTGGGGTGACCAGAAGAAGGCGATGAGCTCGACAGCTGGTGTATCGCAGGTTCTGAACCGATACACGTTCGCGTCGACTCTTTCTCATCTAAGGCGCACGAACACGCCTATTGGAAGAGACGGGAAACTCGCGAAGCCTCGACAACTTCACAATACCCATTGGGGTCTGGTCTGTCCGGCCGAAACGCCCGAAGGCCAAGCTTGCGGTTTGGTGAAGAATTTGTCGCTCATGTGCTCTATCAGCGTGGGTACGTCAACGGATCCTATCGTAGACTATATGATTACTAGGAATATGGAAGTCTTGGAGGAATACGAACCCATGAGATACCCCAACGCCACCAAGATCTTCCTTAACGGATCTTGGATCGGTGTGCACCAGGATCCCAAGTCTCTAGTTAGAGACGTCCAGCAACTTCGTCGGGCCAACCAGATCCCCTCCGAAGTGTCGCTGGTTCGCGATATCCGTGATCGCGAGTTCAAGATCTTCTCGGATGCTGGTCGTGTCATGCGGCCCTTATTTGTTGTGCAGCAAGAGGATAATCCCGAGGCTGGTACTACGAAGGGCTCGCTAGCTCTCAATAAGGAGATGATCCAGAGGCTGGAGGCGGATGTCGACTTGGACCCTGAAAGCGATGAGTACTTTGGCTGGCAGGGCCTGGTCAACGAGGGTGTTATCGAGTACCTCGATGCCGAGGAAGAAGAAACGGCTATGATCTGCATGACGCCTGAAGATCTAGAAACCTACCGGATGAGCAAGCTCGGATACGATGTGTCCCAGGATAATGGAGATGAGATTAATAAGCGGCTCAAGACTAAGGTGAATCCTACGACGCACATGTATACACATTGTGAGATTCATCCTAGCATGCTCCTGGGTATCTGCGCAAGCATTATTCCCTTCCCGGACCACAATCAGGTACGTAATGCGCTCATCCCTTAACCCCTTTGTTATTTGTTATATCGCTAACATTTCCGCGCAGTCTCCCAGAAACACCTACCAGTCGGCTATGGGTAAACAAGCCATGGGATTTTATCTTACCAACTACAACCGCCGTATGGATACCATGGCGAATATTCTCTACTACCCCCAGAAGCCGTTAGGTACGACTCGTTCGATGGAATTCTTAAAATTCCGAGAACTTCCGGCTGGTCAGAATGCCATTGTGGCCATTTCCTGTTACTCGGGATACAACCAGGAAGACTCTGTAATCATGAACCAGAGCAGCATAGACCGAGGTCTCTTCCGAAGTCTCTTCTTCCGATCGTACAGCGACTGCGAAAAACGGGTGGGCATCAACACGGTGGAGACGTTTGAAAAACCATTCCGAGCGGACACGCTGCGTCTCAAGCAAGGCACATATGACAAACTCGATGATGACGGTATTGTCGCTCCCGGTGTCCGCGTCTTGGGAGAGGACATCATCATCGGAAAGACGTCGCCGATCAATCCGGACAACGAGGAGATGGGCCAGCGTACCAAGGTGCATGTCAAGCGTGACGCATCTACGCCTCTTCGTAGCACCGAGACTGGTATTATTGATTCCGTCATCCTCACTACGAACCCCGACGGTTTACGCTACGTTAAGGTGCGAGTTCGAACCACTAAGATTCCTCAAATCGGAGACAAGTTCGCTTCCCGTCACGGACAGAAAGGTACTATCGGCGTCACGTTCCGCCAGGAAGACATGCCTTTTACCCGCGAAGGCATCGTTCCCGACATCATCATTAATCCCCACGCTATCCCCTCGCGAATGACGATTGCTCACTTGATCGAGTGTCTGCTTAGTAAAGTCTCCACCCTTAAGGGAATGGAGGGAGACGCTACGCCGTTCACCGATGTCACTGTTGATTCAGTGTCGAGCCTTTTACGCGATCACGGATACCAATCTCGCGGCTTCGAGATTATGTATCACGGCCACACAGGACGCAAGCTCCGAGCCCAAGTCTTCTTCGGCCCTACGTACTACCAGCGTCTCAGGCATATGGTAGACGACAAGATCCACGCGCGCGCGCGGGGCCCCGTGCAGATAATGACCCGACAACCCGTCGAAGGTCGTGCTAGGGATGGAGGTCTCCGTTTCGGAGAAATGGAACGTGACTGTATGATAGCCCACGGTGCCGCCTCTTTCCTCAAGGAGCGTCTGTTCGAAGTTTCAGATGCCTTCAGAGTCCACGTCTGCGAGATTTGCGGTCTGATGACTCCTATTGCGTAAGTCTTCATTCTAGATTTCATCATCTCGTCAAATACTAACGTTGATTTCATAGTATATTAAGCAAGGGTTCATTCGAATGCCGCCCGTGTAAGAACAAGACCAAGATTGCACAGGTCCACATCCCGTACGCAGCCAAGCTCCTCTTCCAAGAGCTTCAGGCCATGAATATCGGAACTCGCCTGTTCACCGACCGTTCTGGCGCCAGCATCCGCTAAAGATGACCAGCGGCTCCGTGAGGCCAGTCAGGGCCGGCTAATAGGGGAGGGGAGGGTCTCGGTAAGATGGCGGATGACGTAGGGTCAGTTTTCTGGCCGAACATAAAATGCATAGGGCCGGCGTTGTCTTTTTCCTCGGTGTATTCGACCGAAATCCATAAGTGAGGATAGCAGTTCTAGGTTTGCAGGTGGGCGTCAAGGATTGCGAGATCAATGTTTTTACGATCAGAGGCCCGAAACTATTAATCTATGCAGCTTAGGAGGGGCTAGTAGAAAATGTACTCGCGCCGTTATGAATTCGAGAATGAGTTATTTAACTTGATGACAAGATTGAGATGATACCCTCCTGTACTGCGAACCCCTAGAGTTTAAGTGCATACGGCTATTACTAGAGTTTGGCGTTGCTTATATTTCAGCGAGATTATTTACTCGTAATAACGACAGCGATAATATAAGTTCAATACGTTAAACTCTCTACTTATAAACTCAGCCAGCCATAATCCTGACAATTCGGGCGATAAAAGCTAGTGGCTCATAAACTAATCACCGACAGCACCAAAACGGCCAAGTTCTTAAGAGCCCTTCCCTACATGACATACCAACTAACTTCCAGAGAAGTCTACGGCTGGGAAAGAATGCTATTATACCCATCCTGTCAAGCTAGTTGGTCTCTCATCACAACGCCCTTTCGATCGGACGAATGAGAACCTCACACCTGAGACAGGCGTTCGGGTATTTTCCCTCTATGGCTCTGGTCTTGGGGCAGCATACGGTCTAGACGTATGCGGGCGTCTGGTCGGAAGGTCTGGAGGCGTTGCCGCGTAATTCAGGGCTGACATCCATATTTGCTTTTTTTACGCCTAGGAGAGGGGAAAGGGGCGCGTGTATGTACCTACATGTAATGTACCTAATGTATGTATGTATGTATGTATGTATGTATGTATGTATGTCTAAGTCTATGTGTCTGTCTAATATCGACGGAGGAGCCGCACCTAGGTTCCCTTCCTTCTTTTCTAACGTATTTGTTTATAATCATATCATCCCCGACTAGAAGATATATAACTAATATATAGTACAGTACAGAGCGTATACATAATCGTGGTCAGTAGTAAACAACACGACTCATGAACCCGCCCCTAAAAGTGAAAATGGAGTAGAACAGCGCAAACTATAAGAGCTTCAACTCCACAGTTTCTCATCACCGTTCCTACAACCCTCAACGACATCTCTTTAATCTGTCCATGTCCTGTTTGGTTGGCAGATGGCCGTGCCCAACCCGTATCCGCGATGGATGATACTCTCTTCGACCCTCAGAACCAGACATTCTTCATCGTCGGTAGTTCCAACATCAACGCCAGCGACCCGTCTCCTTCGATCGCCATTTCTCTACCCGTCATCGATGCGCAGCGCGTCCGTCTTGCTAGCACGTCTATCAACTATGGCGTACAGCTTGGCCTCTGCTTTTTATCCTTGCTAACGTCACTCCTACTTCTTCCTACCACCAAACTCCGCCGTCCCGTGCACTTGTCGCAGGTCCTATGTCTGGTCGTCTCTGTTACCCGGCTCACCTTACTGGTGCTGTACTTCCCCGGCCCGCTGACCGAGTACTACGTGGCCTGGACCCGTGATGCCTCCGGTTTACCGCCTGAGGCGTATAACATGTCGACGGCTTCTAGCGCATTAAGCGTGCTGCAGCTCGCTCTAGTTGAAGCGTCTCTCATGCTCCAAAGCCGCGTCTTAGTCCGGACCTGGGGCGTGTACTCCCCGTCTCCGTCTCTCCGTTCTTCTATCCCCGCTCCTAGCTCTTCATCCAATTCCAAGACCACCGCCCTAATCGGCAAATGCTGGTGGCGCCCTCCAGTCCTCTTCCTGGCTGTGACCCTGGCCGCAGCCGCCGTCGCGCTCAGAGCTGTCTGGGTAGCGCGCTACACGCAAGCTCTTAAGGGACATACGCTCCCCGTGCCTCTCGACGACGTGGGCAAGGCCTCTACGGTGATCAGCGCCATGTCGGTGTTTTATTTCTGCGGCGTCTTCTTTACGCATCTAGCACTGCACCTCGCGGCCACGAGGCGTGTGCTCCGGGGCAAGGGACGCAAATTGTCCATCGCCCTGTCTTTGAAAGGGGGTGGAAGCAGCGGGAGGGGACTAAGCTCGCTTGAGATTTTGGCCGTTGGGAATGCTATTCTTATGATGGCGTCTTGTAAGTCGAGGAATTCTTAGTTTACTTTTAGACGAGTCAAGTCACGGCGTAAAGGAGCGAAGAAGCTAAACTGGATAATACAACAACAGGTCTCTTCGCCGGGCTCGACGTAGCAGCCGGACCAGGAAATACACGCGTCCTGCCCTACGACGCCGGGTCCTGGGTACAAACTCTCGTAGCCGCCGGTCTACCGCTTATCAGCATCGCCGCCTTCTACCGGGGTTCCGATTCACCTGGTTCAAGCTTCCGACGGTCAAACCGAGGGAGCAGAAGGAATTTAAATAGGGGAAAAGACCACCGCACATCTTTCCATTTTTTCGCCACCGGCAACGGCACCATCTCTTTTGCTCTGCCCGCCTCTCTTTTCAGCCAGCACCCTCGCTCCCTTTCCAACACCGATGACGACTCGGAAACTTTAGGTAGTAGTATGCATTGGAGTCCGAGGGTGCCTGCGGGCGGCGAGAACGTTGATGACTTGGAGGCAGGAAATGGAATAATAGGACCTGTGGATTATGAAGAGATACAACAAGGAAGCGCGAGTGTCCAGGTACAGAAGGATCCCGAGGTAAGGTCGGGAGCGTAGGCGGGCTGGAAAAATAATTTGAATCCACATGTATAACACCATCAAAGATAGATCTGCCGGATTAGAGCAACAAGAATATCATAGGCTTTTTCCATGAATATTGTTTCAGTTTAGCTACATCCTATTATTCCATGTCAGCAGCCCAACTCCTATGCGACGCCGTCGACCAGAAGAGCTCATACGAGCTCGTACGAATCTACGAATTTAGAGATGAAGACTTCCAAGAATCAGGCTCGTGTCACAACATCAGCACGAGGAACAGGCGGTATTATTGTCTTCACGATTCCTTAAAATTTTTGGGTTACCTGATGGCAGCAACCGAGCGGCAACGCAACGTTTCTAATGTAATCCCGTTGCCAGCCACAAGAGATTGCCATTTCCCTTAGTAAAAAGCTCAAATGACAGCCCATCCCATACGCCCAGTCAATGACCGATATCGACCCCCCGGGGAAAAGGATTTATGCTCGCGACATGACACCCCATGCTCGGATAACGTTGTCGGTGTAACCGGCGAACAGAGTCTGGCCGTCCGCGCTCCAGGCCAAGCTCACACACTCGGGCTCTCGGCTCTTCTTGCCGACCGAAGTGAACTCGGGCTTCAGCTCGTCAACCTTGCTCTTCTTCTCCAGGTCGAAGATGATGATGCTGCTGGCAGTGGCAGCGCAGAGCCAGTATCGGTTAGGAGAGAAGACGAGGGCGTGAATCTCGTCACCAGCGTTAAGAGAGTACAGGTGCTTCGACTCGTTCAAGTCCCACAGCATGGTGGTGCCGTCCTTACCGCCGGAGGCGCAGAGAGATCCGTCGGGGGAGATGGTGACGGTGTTGATGTAGCCGGTGTGGCCAATGTGGTCGGTCTGGAGCTTGCAGGTGGAGAGTTCCCAAACCTAACGCCGTACGAATTAGCGCTCGATGCCAATCTCACGTTTGAGAGTAGCAAGCAAATAATAGCGAGGTGTATATCATCAGTGCAATGGTGTTAAGATGTCTCATGGCTTGTAAACAAGCTCTGAAGTAGCAAATACTTTTTAAAATGCAAAGCATCATTTGAAAGGGTTTCGCGAGTTCTCCTCTTCCGTAATAAAAAGTGGTCATGTAAGACGTACCTTGACAAGCTTGTCCCAGCTGCTGGAGACGATGACGGGGTTCTGGGGGTTAGGGCTGAAGCGGACGCAAGACACCCATTCGGTGTGGCCCTTGTCGGTGATGGTGAACTTGCAGTCACCTAGGGTATTCCACAGCTTGATGGTTCGGTCACGAGAGCCCGAAACGATCTGTCGGTTGTCTGCGGAGAAAGAGACGGAGAGCACATCGTTGGTGTGACCGACGAATCGTCTCGTGGTGGTGCCCGTAGCGAGCTCCCACAGTCGGAGAGTCTTATCCCAAGAAGCGGACAGAGCGTAGGCGCCGTCGGAGGAGATAACCTGAGTAACCAACCCGTCAGCAAATTTCTCGATTATTGTTATGTTTATCCACGACTCCATTTTTCAACAGAAAAGCGAGATGACATACGCAGTCGGAGACGATATGAGAGTGGCCGTGGAGAGATCGCTTAGGGTATCCGTATTGCGACTCGTCGCGGGTGAGGTTCCAGATGATAAGGGTCTTGTCGCGGCTGCCGGACAACAGCATGTTGGGGCTACATGACGATAGGTGAGCTTGCGATTACGAAGAGGCGATGTAGCAGGCGATGTAGCAGGTGGTAGATCATACTTCTCTATGGACGTAGCCAAACTGGTGACCCAGCCATTCTGTTTACGCAAAAATCCGTTAGCGACCGTTTGATGTTGACGGCTTTTCGCAGGCAATTGGGTAATTGGAATCAGGTCATGATGGATTAATTAATATACTTACGTGACCCTCGAGAGTGCCCTTAAGAATAAGTTGCTCGGCCATTGTGAAGGAATACTCGAATCTTTCGCGAAGTACACCTTAAATTGTTGGCGAGGAGGAGTTGTTGATGTGCTTCGCTGGATGATCGAGTGATCGAAATGGCAGTCGTCAAACTTGAAATTTTCCCCGAGAAATTTTGTGTGCGAATTTCTTAGGGTCAAATCGCTAAATTGACGGCAGGTGGGCAGGTGCTAGGAAAACCAACCCAAATCAAGCCTTGCCGTATTGGCGGGGCTTTACCCAATCAGCATCCCAATTGGCACTGTGAGTTTGGTGCTAGCTATGCCAGCTGTTGATTAGTCTCCTCACACCTGGCGAATCTACACTCAGGTTATGTAATGAGTTGCCTCTATGCGCTTACGTTAGGTACATGTACATGTACATGTAGGTAATAAAAGGGGTAAGTAGGTACCTTCTACGGTGCCGCTGCAAAGCATCAAAACATCAAATCATACTCGGCCTCCAAGGATATCTCGGCGCCCAAGTTAGAATCGAATATAATGACAACGCTTGGATTGGGTATCTTTAAACAATATAAAATCTGAGCGTGCATCTCCAAACCGCTAACCCAGAAGGATCCGGCTCTTCCTCAGCGACAACTTTCTCCTCTGGCCGTACGGGGGCGCAAGAGAGCTACCATCGGCCACTTCCTCGAAGTACTAGAAAACTGCCATATACGGTTAAGAGGGTTCAATAGAACTCATGTCCATAGCCGTAGAAGTAGCTTCTAAGATCGCCTCGCTATTCAACAAATTAAGTCTCCGAACAATAAGCCGGCCTCACAGGGGGAGCATCTTACCACCAAGATCACGCATCATGACCAATTAACATTCATTAGTGGTATCGTCCTTCACCGGAGATCAACTAGTCGATTTGTAGTCGTCAAATCATGCCGTTAAAGGGGTCAGCCTGGGGCCGTCGGCTGTTTTTAGGCATTCCCTTCCGTCCGTACTTGGTACCGAAATTAACAATCGAGCTATGATCGGCAATATCTGGCGCGCTACTCGTCGCCGGGCCGGCCTTGGGTAGCAACTCGGACATCATGTCCTCCCAATTCTGGTGTCGTTTTCGGCTTAGCGGATCGCGCTGCGCGACGCTTCTGAGCTCCTTCTGTCGACTAATTCTAGCAGCCCGGTTGATTCGCCTCAGCGCTGCCTCGCCCTTCTTCGCATCTGCTTCCGCCTGTAATTGCTCCTTTTCGATATCTGGCTCTTGCTCCGCTGGGGTAAATCTGTAGGTATGCGCGCTGGGAAATGCTGGGAAGTTCTTGGGTATCCACGGCCGGGCCTCTTTTTCTTTCTCTCCAGACAGCTCTTCACCTAGAAATGGCCGCGGCTTCTGAAGATATTGGACGTCTTCCGTTACGGGGTCGAAGAACGATGGCGCAACGTACTCCTTCTGTACAGGATTCTTAAGATGTAGCTTCAGAGACGATAGGTCAACATCGTGACGACGAAGGATCAGCTCGAAATCTTCGGGTATAGGGTCGTTTCTTCTTGCCGCGTTGGCGATACGACGAAGGTGCTCGATGAAGCCAGTGATATCTACACTGTAGTTAGAATACTAAGTTATAGGACGAAGTGTCCAGTTTGCACATACAGGTGTCAACTGTCTCCGTGAATCCCTCCAGAGCATCAGGGGTAGCAGCATCGAAGCCCACGTGCTTCAGCGCCACACCGATAGAACGTCGAAGCCCATCTCTGCCAAAGTCTTCGGCATTCGGACGTCTCACCACATCGTAAATCGGTCTCTCTGATAGGTCGACCTCGGCTGGCGTAACAGAGCGGGAGTCGGGCTCGATAGTTCGTTGTCGCTTAGCCTCAGGCTCTTGATGATTCTCATCGTCGGTAGGAACGGCGCGTTTGAGAGAGGGATCCATGATGTCGAATGAACTGTTAAATGGGGTATGTGATACGAGTATCGCTGGACTTGTAGGGGCGAGTATAGAGAAGGCGGACTAAGAAGTAAGCTTATAAAAAGCACGGATCTCCAGGCCTTGGTTTAAAAATCGGATATTCGCAGGAATTTTATAGCATGTATGTATCCAATATCCTGGTTCTCCTGGTTCTTCCACGCGGTTCGTTTTGGCAACACGAAAATAGCTATAAGTAAGGCCGGGGAAATATCTAGGGACACGGGCTTTGTCGTCGTCGTATGTGAGGCGAAACCAGACCGTTGAATGCTGCTGGCGAGATATCGCGTGTTTAATACGGAGGTGATGTCGAGTAGGTGAAGAAAACTGCAGGATTCAAGCTCGCCGAGCCTAACCGCTCGTCATATGCCCTCCCCAAGACACCTAGTTTTCGAGTCTCGCTGGTCTTGGTATCTAAGGAATGAATGTAGCGTAGCTATCGAGTCGTAAACAACGATGTTGCGAACGGGCGCGGTAATGACAGATCTCTGATCTCTCCAAGAGATTCGGGGAATCGCGGGAGGGGAATATATTGTCGGATTTAAAAAACCTAAAGATGCGATACTGAAAATATGCTGAATAGCCTCGTGCGAAGCGGTGGGTAGAGAGGAATATGGACGACAAGGCTGCTTTAGTTTGAAGTTGAAGATGTTAACGAAGGAAACAAGCTCGGGCGACAGGGATCCTCCAATTCACAAGTGGCCGGTTAAAGTGGAGTTGCGACTGTCTGGTGTATTACATAGGTACCTAGGTACCTATCGTTAATCGGTACGTACATCTACAGTATCCATGTGGCTACAAGATCTGATTGTGGCTTGACTGTTTTAAAGATGACTAAAGAAAACCAGCATCGTGAAGAATGATGTCGTTGCTATTCGTTGCTATGATTGCAAAAGTACCTATGGATGGTAAAATGGATTGTATTGGTTTGAATTAAGCTCGTTGTATAACTAAATCTACCTACCTATACGGAATAGATGCATGATCATTTGTCAACTTCATATTGAAGAATTCATAAGCGTCAGCCCAATGATTTTACGACATTGATATGTTGATGTTGAAGAAGTTCAATGCTGTTATTGTAAGTGGGATACACGAAAACCTAATCACTGCTAAGGTTGTCTGCGTATGATTTTATATAGCCTGTGTGATTATAAAATACACATTGACTTGAATTATCCATCATTCAATGTTATGCTTAGATAGATAGATAAGTGGATGGGTGGATGGATAGCAGCTACATATCAATCAACGGTTAAATTGACTTGCGTACCTAATAACCTCTTATTATATCCTATCTACTTGTGCAATGCTTCGATGCTAAGGTTCTATCGTCGTTTACTAAGTAGAGGCTTAGCCATCTCATCCCTGTGGCGCTTCTAACATCCCGGCTCGTTTGTTTTGACTTATTACTTCGTACTATGACCCTCTCTGTAACCATCTCTGTACGCATTATAAAACCGAGTTAATGACCAACTTCGAACCCGCGATGCATCTACAGGCGAGCTCAGGTGAGAAGGATGGGTCGCAAGGCGAGATCACCAAGTTGAAAGTAGCAAACCCCTTACATTACTTTCCGACCAATATTTTCGACGCGGCCGGCTCGCTCCAACATCTCGACCTTTCCGGAACAGGGCTATCCAGCTTACCAGAAGACTTTGGTCGCCTAAACAAGCTCAAGATAGCATTCTTCTCCGACTGCAACTTCACCGTCTTTCCTAAACAGCTAGCATCATGTCCCGAGCTCGAGATGGTCGCTTTTCGCGGTAACCAGATGACCACTGTACCGGAGGAATCTTTGCCGCCGAAACTTCGCTGGTTGATCCTGACCAACAATCGGATAAGCTCCTTACCTAAAAGCATTGGGCGGTGTGGACGCCTTCAGAAATGCATGCTGGCGGGAAACCAGCTGCGTTGCCTGCCGGACGAGATGGTGGCATGTAGGAAGCTCGGCCTATTACGACTCTCTGCCAATCGCATCCAAGAACTTCCAGGTTGGCTCTTTGACCTACCTGAGCTGGCTTTCCTCTCATTTGCTGGCAATCCGTGTTGCTCGTTAACCGCGACATCAAAAGATGTCCGTGGCACCACTCCTTTCAGCTCTCTTCCCGAGGTCAGCTGGACAGATCTTCATGTTCACAACCTTCTAGGCGAGGGTGCCTCGGGAATCATCACAAGGGGGTTATGGAACGGGACCGACCAAGCTCGAGAAGTAGCTATCAAGTTATTCAAGGGACATGTTACAAGCGATGGAACGCCTGCCGATGAGATGCTAGCGTGCATCACAGCGGGATCCCACGCCAATCTCATAGATCCTCTGGGGAAGATTACTGATCACCCCGATAAGCAAGGGCTCGTCATGCAACTTGTCACAGCTCGATACGGAACCCTAGGGCTCCCGCCGTCCCTGCAGAGTTGCACAAGGGACTGTTTCTCGCGGGAGATCAGTCTAACCACACGGCAGGGCTTGCGAATCCTCCAGGGCGTCGCCGCCGCAGCGGAACACCTGCACGACCGAGGCGTCGCACACGGTGATATATACGCGCATAACGTGCTCTACGATGAAGGGGGACACGCGCTCTTAGGCGACTTCGGCGCAGCATCTATCTACGGCAATTTAAACCACAAGAAAATCGAGCAAGTCGAGGCGCTCGCCTTCGCCCACCTGATCGAAGACGTCTGGCGAATCATCAGGCCCAACTTCGACGAACAAGAGTTGCGAGTCGGTGTGCTGCTCGCGGCTCTGCATCGTCAGTGCTCGGATCCAACCGGAGTCAAGCGGCCAAATTTTAGTGAGATCACCCGGCAATTAAGTTCCATAAATCAACATCTAGCGGCTGCTACATTATGAGGTTGTAATCAAAAATGTTACGGCGGGCGAAGTGACGGACGTGTTCGGTTGGGTCTTAACGATCCGAAGGCCGCAAATCAGGCTCTGAAGACCGAAGACTCGCTCAACTCGAGCTGACGAATGATGAGAAAGTTGGCCACGGGATGAGAATTTTCATCTGTTAATCCATTTCTATTCCTTCCTTTATGCCGCTACACGACGCTGTGCATACGGCAGGTGTACATAGGTAGGTAGGTGATGTTAAGACCAGGAATATAATTCTGCTAGAAGAAAAAGAAATGCGGCTAGGGGCAAAGAGGAAACCCAACGAGCGACGACCCAATGAGAGTCAGGGGAAATAGGAGAGGTCGGATAGATGTTGCTAGAATCAGTCATACATAGACAAAATATAGACTAGAAAGGAAACTAAAGAGCCAGTAACTTAGGTAGGTATGTATGACCGTACATATGTATAAAAGGCCATGTCCCTAGTACGACCCCCCCCCCAACAGTTACCTGATATAGGATCAGTAAAGCCGACGCCTCCTTGGAATCGGAGACGGTCTACTAAAGTTCCAACGTCGGTTGTAGGTTGAAAATTGTATTCTCAAAGGCTTAGTTATAGCGGTAGATGACCCGGATTGGTTGCTACGTGCTGTCTCTTATGGATAAGACGGCGTGATGAACGTGACATGGGGAGCCGCCCAACCGCTTCTCACATGCCCAGTTATAGGCATGCGTAAATTGAACTTACTCGGCCGAGTCGTCATCATCGTAACTTCATTTCGATATTGGCCCGTCTTTTTTCTTCTTTTTCTTTTCTTTTTTCAGCTCCGTAAACTCACCTCCCACTTTGAGACATGGGCCCGCTCCTCCCGTAGCGGGAATGTGTAAGGAGCTACGGAACCGCCCGCTCGTACATGACAAGGACTCGCCATCTAATTTCGTATTCTACTCGGAAGCTTCCCATCCCGATTCGACACAAACAGTTCCGACACGCGGCCCTCGGGGAAGTCCCGAAAGAATATGTATGTTTATGTATGTATATGTAGCAGCGCGTGCTTGTTCTATGTACGTCTACGTATCCGTCTGTATGTAGAAGCGGGAGGCCGTTTGGGGTTGTATCGACTGCATGTACCTACAGTTGTCAGTAGGTACGATCGAGGTAACACCTACAACGGTCTTCTTCCTCGCCGCCTCGTTCACTACCCTATGAATGAACTCTCGAATTAAAAAGACGGCTGCAATAATAAACATCTTACGCGTGACTCGCTGATAGTTCATCCCCCCTGAAGTGCCTGGCTAAACACCCCCGCGAGAATCTAGTTACGACTTGCGAGGGCGATAAGATCTCCATCGTTCCCATCGTTCCCGCAGGATTCGCACGGCCGATTTTTGGGCATATAACGTGCATCCTTCACACGCAGAAGAAGAAAAAGACCCTTGCTACCTTCTAGAAGTCATACGGGGGAATGCGGACCCGTAGATTTTACTCGATCAGAAGGGTGTCTACCCAACTTATCCAAAACCGAGCGAGAGAACATGGAGGGTAAGTGTCATATACCTATCTAAGAGGTTACGGGCAGGCAAAGCTAATCGCGAGTAGACAGGGCATCGCCGTGGGGTTGAACTGGGGAACCATCCACACCTTGCATGGATCTTTTTTACACGCCTTAACATGTTAATATGTAACCTAGTATTTTGTCTACGGCCCTACGTCAGGTAAAACATGAGCTACATAAGTAGTTAGCAGATAGGGCGGCCAATGACGACGGAGAATTATAGTTGGAGATGGGCAATGATCATGAAGTTTCACCCACGTGAACGTCATCTTCTCTTCTTCTTTCTATTAATCGAGGCATGGTTGTCCTTGCGAGCGGTTAAATGCTAATTTAACTATATTGCATTGTATGTATCATATCGTAGTGTAGCCCGTCGACAGGGCAATCAACCTATATATGACCCGGGGTGAAAATAGTAAACGAATCGTTTCCGTATATGTGCATGTGTCTACATGGCCACCTATAGCGAGGCGTGAGACTATCTAGAGGGATCGTCAGGAGCTACACACCTTTATGTACACCTACGCACCTCGTCACTTACAGGACTTACGCAAGGGGCGGTCAGCACGAGACGGGATTCCTTTACTCTGCTTACTTGCCTCACCCTCGCCCTCGCCATCGATCAATGACGGATGTTCGTGTCAAATTGGATCTGGCATGCAAGACAGCACATGATTAATGCCTCACGCATAGCGCTGTGACTACGGAGACATACATACATATATGCGCGGCCAAGCCAGTGAGGACAACCATGGCCTAGTTATATGGCCTCGAATGGGGAATATAAATATAAATGGGCATGTATGGGCATGTATGGGTATGTATACAGAATACAGCAAGGTAAATCAATAAAGCAAATTAGATACTCGCTTCTAGTTTGGCATGCGGCATTGTAGATCGCAGCAGATATCGTAGCGACTTATTCTGCATCTATGCTGCTATCCGCACCGGAGAGGATTAGATCAGAGCATTATAATCTGATCAACAAGCCGAATCGAGCTAAGCTCAAACGAAGGGGACGAAGTGCATCCGCTCGGTGGATATTCCCAATCATCCCAGTCATCTCGGCCATCTCAGTCACCTCAGTCATAGCGGAGAATTTCGTCAACGAGGCTTCTTAGCAGGGCTCGACGAGGCCAGGGACAGGGAAATCCTGCCAAGGCCTGCAGGTTTTGTAAGCCTTCGATGAGAAGGTCTAGAACAGATTGGCGGAATCACGTTGACCTTCGGATCTGCCGCAAAAGATTTAGCTTCGCAGATCCGCATTGACCTCCCCATCAGATTTCGCAGATTACCGGCCCAAGCGTACCTTAGGTACATATTTGACAGATTTCGAATACGTGTTTGTGTATAGGCTAGGTAGGCATGAGAAATAATAGTTGAGAAAGATAAAATGAATTACGTCGTACTAAAAGATGAGTATGAGAAGTACCTAACCTAGGTAGGTGGTACCTAAGTTAGGTATTTAAAAAGTGATACAGCATTAAATGTTTCGGCAGTGGTATAATGTATCTTCTCCAATATTACATATGTAACTAACGAATTAAAGTTAGCAGGCGTTGGTGGGGTAAAAAAGAAAAAGAAAAGTGCCTTAAGCTGCGTCCACCGTTGTAGGCGCCTGTTACCTACGGCTTAATGGATCACCGTAACCACTAAATTGACCACTAAACTCCAGTAGATAAGCCTACTAGATGTACTATTCTTGGTCGCATTAACTGCCACTAATAAAAACATTGAAAGAGGTACAGGACGGACGGGACAACATGGATGGTCTCGCCTCGAGCTTCCCACAGGTAGCCCAGGTGGTTTGCCATGTGGTTTAAAAACGCTTGATATACATACCTAGGTACCTATATAATGTAGGTACGAAGAGGTAGTAGTAATGTACTTACATAATTTTCCCTCCTCGGGAAAAGGAAAGAGAAGGTGTACATAAGAGAGGTATGTATTAAACCATCAAACCATCAATTCAAAGGAAAGAGCAAGGACCAATACATATGTAGAGTAAATGCCACCTAATCAGGTAACCTAGGTACCTACATAAGTACCTAGGTACTTTTATTATTATTTTATTTCTTTCCTTGTTTCACCCCCCTCCAACTCCTCCTCCACTCCCCCATCTCCAATCCCCTTCCCCTGTCAAACTTCTTCTCCCCCCATTTTCATTTTGATTCCCCGAGCGGAAGAATAAAAAAGAAAGCGAATTTTACTACTATTACCAGGTATCCAGGTATACAGCAATATGTCGAACTGTTATTAGATGACTATACATGCATGAAGATGCTATTTGTCGTCATATCAGGACAGGACCGTTTATAGCAAAACCCTTGCCCCCGTCTTTGCGTCCGTACTATCCATACTTCCTAATTAGATCTTTCCATTTACGGTCTCTTAATCTTCGTGACTTGTGACCAACTTTCATTATTCCTCTTCGTCGATACATTTGATAACTCGGCTAAGACTACATGTACCTAACCTAACGAAGGTTGTACATGTCATATCTCCTTTACCTTCATATTCACGTTTACCTCTATCCTCATCTTTTGAATTCATCTTTTCATGTCGTACCGTATATAATACTGTTGACCCGAATTCTCACCTGACCTCGGCCCCTTCATTGCTCTTAACGATTATACTATATCGGCCTTCTCGTTATCCTGGTTCGCTCCCGATCTTCAAGTATAGTGTATTCATCCACTTGAATCCTGGTTTGTTTTTTTTGGTATTGGTGGATTGGCCTTCCTTGGCTCACCCCTTGGCTGTCCAACTATATTCGCCCAGACGAGGATTGCCAAGCTTATTCTACAGCCCTAGTGATACATATATTCCGGTATAGGTAGACTCTATTCTATGTCACGCCCTTCGCCGTCAACCTCGAGTCTTCCGAGAACGAGGCTGCCATTTGCGAGCATGTCGTAGCGGCTATATACCCCTTAAGAAAATTTAAAAAAACAAAAAAAATAGAGTGAGTTGGCTACCCAACCGACTAACCTACTACTCTATATATCACAGTTCTAACTAATAGCCGGCTTAGAAGTTCTTCAGACATTGCAAGCGAGTTTCTTGATAAACATGTTTCCTATAGACAGGAGCCTTCTCCCGTCTCTGACTACCCGCAGAGCGTTGATCGTGGTTGACCCCCAGAACGATTTTCTGGCTGAGGATGGCGCCCTACCTATCCAGATGCCTCCGGATCTCCCAGAGCGGATAGCGGGCTTGGCGACGTCGCTACGAGCAGGGGGTGACGATATCATCTGGGTATGCAGCAGATTCGAGAAATCGCGGTCTTCTCAGGAAGAGCAAATTCTCATATCGGATCGGCCGAGCCACTCCCAATCCCCAGATCTTTCGCGGGGTCGGCGGCGGCCAACACCACCGCAGACGAATCAACAAGCCGAGTCTCCGGAGGCCTTTCTAACTCAGGAATCTCCAAGCCTACCGAAATGTGTCCGACCGGGCTCTTCTGGGGCGGAGATGCACCCAATTATAAAAGGGGCTGTCGGACCTAGGGATTTTTCAGTCGTGAAAACTTATTACTCGGCTTTCAGGTCAGAGCAGCTACTTCGCTTACTGCGTATGAGGCTTGTCACAGAGCTTTTTATCTGCGGGTCTATGACTAATATTAGCGTTATGGCTACCGCCGTCGACGCTGCGAGTCATGGATATATGATCACGATAGTCGATGATTGCTGCGGCTACAACAACATAATGCAGCATCGTAATTCCATCAAGCAAATTTCGAAAACTACGGGCTGCGATGTTCTATTCTCGGCTAACGTCGTGGCGTCCCTTAAACCAAAGTCGAAGCCGTCGAGAAGGCCAGGTGACAGACCGGCAACTTCTCCAGCCGGCGGATACTCTACAGTACGTCGTGCCGGGGAAGAGGATGATCCTGCTGCGTCCTCGGCCTCAGATTTATTATCCTCACTTGAGAACATGTCGCTAAATTCTCAACGCGCAGCCGATACTCCCCGTGTCAAGTCACCCACAAAAGATCCAACGCCATCGATTCAACCCTTGGTGAATACAACAAACTCAACAAAACCAACAGCGGAGAGGAATCGAAAGTCACGTGCCAGCTCATCGGTCGCGGCCGTGAGTGAGGTCGAATTTAAACCACGGCACCAAAAAACGGGTGACGATGACTCACAAAAAGGTAGTCATACCAATAAAAATAGTGATAATGCGCAAGTCTTACTACAGGACAAAGCAGAACAACCACCACCAACTCAAGATAAAACTATTGTCTCTCAGCAAACTTTGGAGAAAACACAACCAGACAAGGAGGAATCATGTATTTCCGATTCAGTCAGATTAAAAAGCGACGAATCCGAACCGTCAGCGGAAGAGAGGAATCCTAAATCTTCTTTGGAAAATACAACAGAATCATCGGGGACTGTGAGTGAGGTACCAAGCGAGAAGCATCTAGAACGGATCCAAGGCCCGTCAAAGATATCGAACCCTGAAGTTGACGATAGTAGAATAATGGCTCCCGGAGACCAGCCAAGACCGAGGGAGGGCGAGCCTCTATGTGAAGGTGATACCAGGGTCGTCTACGACGTATTACCACACCCAGTATCTGAGTACATCTTCGAGAGGGTAAGAGACGAGGTGCAATGGCAGCGCATGTCTCACCAGGGTGGCGAGGTGCCAAGGCTCGTCGCCGTTCAAGGACAGGTGGATGAGGATAGCAGCATGCCTATTTACCGTCATCCATCAGACGAGTCGCCTCCGTTGCTACCATTCTCCCCCGCAGTGCTCGAGATTAAGAGAGTAGTCGAAAAACAATTGGGACATCCTCTAAACCACGTCCTTATACAATTTTACCGCGACGGTAACGACTATATCTCAGAGCATAGCGACAAAACGCTGGATATCTCCAAGGGCAGCTTTATCGCTAATGTTAGTCTGGGTGCCGAACGAACCATGACGCTACGAACAAAGCGACAACCGAGAAGTAGGGATTCGATAGATGCGGAGCCTTTGCCTACGACAAGACGTCAAGTCCAACGAACATGTCTACCTCACAATTCACTTTTTCAAATGGGATTGCAGACAAATAAGCGATGGCTCCACGGCATTCGACAGGACAAGAGGATTGACCGCGAAAAATCAGACGCCGAGCTGGCCTACGACGGTGGCCGTATCTCGTTGACGTTTAGAAGGATAGGGACCTTTCTGGACCGCGAGAACAAGCTGATATGGGGGCAAGGGGCTACATCAAAGACGAGGGAGGGTGCGAAAAATGTGATCAACGGACAAACGCCTGAAGCTATTAAGATGCTGCAAAGTTTCGGTCGGGAAAACCAGTTGACAGAATTCAACTGGGAGGAATATTATGGCACAGGATTTGACGTTTTGCACATCTCTACCGCCCCTCGACTATTCCTGTCACCGGATCCAGTCGTTAATATGCGTATCCAACTGATGCTAGCCGAGTACGGAGTTAGCTACGCGAGAGGTAGCATGTCGCCGCTCTTCAAGTGGAAGGATAGCAGGCCTACCAATGACCCCTTCGCCATTCCCAAGGACCTCCCTATCAAGTTTGTCGATAATGACTCGCCAAAGACAACTATCGAGGGGGAGACCTCAATCATGCTGTACCTCGATCGCTTTTACGGTCCTAAAGCCGGAAGTAACCCGTCTAGGGATTTTGTGAAAGAAGGCACTCGCTTTCAGGAAGGGATTGCCTTGTTGAAAGAGCACGAAACGCTGAAGGCTAAATTAGACACATGGGATACTTATGTAGCGGAAGGCAACGATTTCATCGCAGGACCTATTATGACCCTAGCCGACTTTGCATTTTGGCCTATCCTTCACGATATAATCAGGGTTCAAGGCCAAGATCTGTTTGGACAAGACGGGGCTGGGTTCGAGAATTTGAAAAAGTACTACGAGCGTATCGAGGCGCGGGACTCGGTCAAAAAAGTAACAGCCGTATGTGAGACCTGCTCGCCGAAGAAATCCGCCGGTGCTCCCGACGCCACCGTACCGACATAGGCTTCCGTCCCTGGCCCCGATGCCGCCACAGAATTGAACTGGGATGGACAGGCATCTTGGATAATACTTATAAGCCTTCTACATACGTATCAAGGGAGAGGCGCTCACATTTAGCGTGACATCGTATTGGTAAGTAGATGGCTTGCCTCCTAGCTTCTCCTGCGGCGAGGATAAGATGGGATAGTAAGGACAGGCAAATCTGCCAGGACTTACCGAGATGTAAGATGACACTAATCTAATGAACTATGTATTGCCGTGAACTCTTTTGCACTAGATGTTAGAATAAGATACCTATAAATATCACTTGTATAGATGTATAAAATATTACTTTGCTTCAACGTGATAGCCTAGCTGTACAGGGTGTTTTCCTTTCCATTAATTTGGCACCATTGATCTTCTTCATCCACTGCCTCTAACCCTCACTGTTCTCAAGAGCTAGCCGTATCTCAGGCCAGGCCTTTTCCCTCATCCACTGAATTATATCACCTAGATATAGATACGTTACATAGGTAGGTAAGTAGGTACCTAGTCGGATAATTCAAATAATCCTTAAACGCCCGCGTTCTTATACGCGTCCTTATAAATACAGCCCGTCGCCACCCAGCCGTGATTAAGCCAATCGGTGGGATTTCCCTACCCGCTCTTATACACCCTGCTAAACCGCGACCTGCGGTAGACAAACCAGATACCGGAAACCTTCAAACCCACAGATTCTTCGAGACAAGATATTACAAACATGAAATACCGATACTCCCACCATTGACATCTCAGACCCTAGCTTCGCATGGGAAAGAGAAACGCAATTATTCATTGATAACGGTTAAGCGTACCGGCAGGATTAACACCCACACCGATAGGAACACCGGTTACGGCACCCCCATTCTGGTTCCCATTTGGATTCCCATTGCCTCCGCCCTCCCCAGTATTCTCCTGCAATATAATTGTAGGTCTCCGCGCAACGACATCGAACACAGTCTGGCTCTGCTGAGCATCACCACCCGGCATATCGACATCGCTCATGCTAAGAGCGCGCAGGATATGCCGGTCGATACGAGCCAGATCGGGGTCTGCGAATTGACCTTTAAGGTAATCGGCCACCTGTCGAGCGGGCATAGCAGCGGCACGCGCCAGTCTTGCGATAGCTGTCCGTATCCCGGCGTTGTTCTCTCGCTGCCATCGTCTATACGATGCGATTGTGTGCATCTGATCCGGGGGTGTGACGGGGTGGTTGTGATTCGGTTCCAGTATATCAATGAACCATAGATCACCTTCCCGCTTCAATCGTCGCACCACGGATTTCCACCCGCACCCACACTTCTTGCTTTCGCGCCGCCGTTCCCCCGTGCTCTGCGATACGAAGTCGGCCCCGCCACGGTCGCACGCAAAGTCCTTGCGAATGACGTCGCCGTCGGGGTCGTAACGTCCCGAGGGCAGCTTTTCCTTGACGGTACGCTTCTGCGACACGCCGTACCCGGACGTAAAGACGTGGAGTTGGAGGGAGAAGACAGCATCTTCGGCCGTGTTATAGGGTCCTTTGTTTAAAGGGTGTGGTGAATGGGCTTGGGGAGGCGGCGGCTGTTGAGGGGGTGTAAGAGTGTTAGAGGCTCGCTGGTCGAGGTAGTCGCGCTCTAGTTGCGATTTAGGCGGTCGGCCTACGCGACGACGTTTGCGCTGGGGTGGACCGAAGGATGTGGGATTTGCGTTGCTGGTGGCGCTACGGCTTACCACGGGTGTAGCCGGCAATTGCGTAGTATCGGGACTGGAATCGGAATCGACGTTTGTGTTGATGATAGGTTGTTGCTGCTGTGGTTGTGTGACTATGTTGGTTGTAGATGGTAAAGTTGGTGGATGTTGTGGATGTTGGTATGTCGGTGCAACGATTGGTGGCGTATGGGTGGTAGGTTGATGTAGATGATGTTGTTGATGTTGCTGCTGCTGCTGCTGCTGCTGCTGCTGGTGACGAGATTGAAGCTGAGATTGAGGTTGTGGATGATGTCGGTGTTGTCGATGTTCGGGAATAACAGCAAAGGACAACTGGTTATATTGCTGGAGTGGAGCAAGTGAGTTGTATTGCGACGACGCCATACCTTACGTATTACTCTTATCACTTTAGTATGTAAATATGTTGACTGTATCGACTTATTAAACTAGACTGTTCGTATATGGGAAGTAGAAGGAGTCGCAGACTGTTGGTGTAAAGAAAGAGAATTGAATTAGTGAAAGGTTTAAGCTCGACTTAGGTGACGCTATTCCCCTAACAAAGTTTAGTCTAACCTGATATAGGTTCAACCCCACTTAGTCGCAGATATGAGATCTGATATGCAATAACCCTTGCTTTTCTTATTTAGACGGTGTTAGGTATATTTATACTGATGATTGATGAACAGTCAAGTCTTTGTTGCCATTATACACCACAATATATAGGTACGCAATAGTATACCTCTCTTATACACTTATACTCTTATACTCTAAAATCTAAAATAAGGACAATGTCTTCAAACATCTAATTATCGCTCCACACATAACTCCCAACCCTCGAACTCGCAACCCATCCCGCATCCTCAACAACCTCTTGCCTCTTATTTCTATCACGTAGTGCTTCTTCGACGCTAATACCAACCGGAAATCCGGCTACCTCCTCCCGCTCTACCCTCAGCCAACCCTTCCATCCCGCATTCACATCTCCTTTTACACTCGCGCCGCTTCCCCCGCCGATCACCACCGTGCCCCACCACTCACGAGCCCGGCTCCCGTGAGCCCCGTAAAGCATCCACTCGCCCGCCGCCGCCACCGCCGCCCGCACTTGGTCCCGCCCCCGCGCCGGCCGGTACACGTACACGTGGCGCAGATCAGATAGCTGGGCTGGATAGCTGCTATTGCTAGTATTGTTCGAGGGGCTAGAACAAACGAGGCGGGTTACGTCGAAACGGCTCTCGGCGTCGACAACGACCACTGTGTAGTTATGCGGTTCAGCGATGAGAGTTGATATCAAGTGGTATAGGAGCGGGAGATAGCGCCCGCTGGCTGAGAGGACGGGCGGCGGCGCGGATTGTGTTGCTTTATGATAGCGGGCGGCGATGTTGGCGAGGCCCGGGATGGGGATATGTGGACGGATATTATTAGAGGGGCCACCTGTGAGGTTGACACGAAGAGAGTCGAGAAGCTAGAATGAGTAAGTTAGTTATGATTATAATTATAATAAAATGTGTCGAGCCTCATGATAATAAAAACGAGTCAAAAAGAGGAATGAGACTAAGAATAAAAAAAATAATATGAGCCGGTGATAAGATAAGAGACTCAACTGAATCTCTGAATATAAGCCATCTTTCAATCCTCCATACATAAAGATTTATACATAATTTACAAAAAGAGAAGAAGCTGAGCATTAAAGTGTGAAGTGTGAATGCATACCTCTTCTAAGCTTCCCTCTTCAACTTCGCCTAGCAATCGAGCACCGACGTGTTTCGTCGTCGCAGCATCCATCATCTCTTAGTCTCGCCTCTATTTTAAATCAAATCAAATCAAATCAAATCAAATCAAATCAAATCAAATCAAATCAAATCAAATCACATCTCACAAGTCCCAGCAAGCAATCTACAAGAAGAAAGAAAAGCGATGGCGCCTCCGTGCCGCGTCTTCCCAGCCTCGCAACTCGAATCCGAGATCCAAGCTACGGACGGTCGCGCGCGTAAAGGCGGCCGGATCGACTTGTCCGCCTGCGAACTCTTCTCGATGGTCCAGTACGAGTGCCAGATCGACCGACCCGAGGTATCGAATAGCCCCGTTCGGTGCTGGCCCGTGCAGCGATGGTTCCGCCGGTGAGATTGATCTCGAGTTGTATTTATTTATTTATTGTTGTTGTTGTTATTATTATTGTTGTTGTAAAATAGTTTAGCTGATTCTTTGTTTGTCCGGTTTAGATGTCAGGACAAGAAGGGGAGTTTTATGGTTGAGACTACGGTATGGGAGGGGATGAAGAAAGATGAGAGCGTTGGTGGGGGCGGCACGTAGTTTGATAAAACCATTGACTTTAAGAAATGAAATAGTTAAGCTATATTGTAAGCTATATTAATCAATTCCTATTTTATTCTCAACAGAGAAATCATCTTGGGAATACTCTTTGTTAAACAGTTATATCCGATTACAGGTATGAATTCGTAGAAGTTGATACAGACAGAGTACAGTTCTTTAAGTCCTAAGTCCAAGGGAAAGCCTACTTTCATCACAGGATTTCCCGTATTACGACAACCTCATATACTTGTTACCATTACTCATCTACGACTTTCATACCTTGAGTATAATTACGACTACGTCATACTCATAGTCATACAAACAAGACCAGTACATATATACGTAGCATGCCTAGTAAAACTGGACACCAAATCGTATTGCACGGACTAGCGGATAGGAATAATGCTCAAGGGAGCCTGAATTCGGCGGGCGGGTACTCGTTCGTATAATACAGTCGGCCGTCCCCAGCTTTCAAAGCATAACCATCTCCTATAGCATTCTCCAACCACACAATAGAACAGCCGTTCTCTAGACGAGAGTCAAGTATTTTGCGTTTTTGCGTTTTTGCGTCCTCTCCACTTTGCACTGTCTTCCACGCAAGTCCTTCATCATAAACGAACGCATTTAGACGCCTCTCGCGGCAGCCCGTTCTTGCTCGAGTTGTCTGTAGAAGTTATCTCGGGCGTGGGTGCGCGGCATGTGGTATCCGTGCCTGAGCAACGCAAGTTAGTCTATCATGACTGTCCATATCGATTTTCCAAGATTTCCAGAGTATAACAAGATTTCCAGAGTATAATTATAAATCATCTTCGTACCAGTAGAGAGAGCCGAAGGTTACGCCCAATCCTGCGATTCAAGTTAGCTAAGAGCCCCGCGCATCACGTTTGATTTCGGAAAGCATTGGAAGGCTTTCCAATACTAGGATAGACGCACCGAGCCCGATACCGAGGTCGACAACGAGGCCCCGTCGGAGCATCTGTAGTTATGAAATCAGCTTCACGAACTTGGAGGGGTATGGCTAGTAGTTGGACGCAGTAGATAACTTACGCCGGTGATGGGTGCGATGGCCATTTCGAATGGAATTCTGGGGAAGACGGGTTAGAGGTAGGCTTAGTGGGAAGGTTGCGGGCGAATTCGTGGAATTCTCGGGTCTATGGTTCAAAGGTTCAAAGGTTCAAAAGGTCAAAAGTTGGAAATGGTCTGATCAAGTCTCCCAATTCGCGCGAAGCTTCTTGCGCTGAGTCACGTGAAGCATTTACATAATGAAAGGTCATTACCGTGGAGGTATTTTTGTACCCTTTAGTCCGGCAGCCGGCAAGCGATAAGGCGGCAGACGGCTAAACCCCGGCAAATCTTTCTCTTGACTGTTCCGATATTGAACTTTTTCTTAATAACAACTTCAAGACCCTTGAACCCGCTTTACAGCTCCGTCTCAGGCTGCCGAACGCAACCAATTCATAGCAGCCATGAGCCTACATCTGCCGGCAAGGCGGGTAGCTACAGCCGGTACTTTTATCTAGGTAGTCGAACTATATCCTACAAGCTAGCTAATCAGAGGATTCTAGCAACGCGGGCCACCGCCGGCAAACCCTCATTACATCTACAATACCTACAGCCCAAAACGCAGCGCCGCAATGCTTGGTTCAATTGGGGCGCCAAGTCTAAAACCAATTCGCCCTTGGTCCAAGAGTTCACCCGGCGCGAGCGCGAGCAGATGATAGCCGAGAAGAATCTGCAACGGACGCAGGGATCTTCCATCTTCGACGAGGAGATCAAGGACACGGAGAGGGTACAAAAGCAGGAGCTCGAGCAGCAATCGGGACAGCCGATAAGGCACACATACAATACCAATACGAAAGTAAAGGAGCACATGGAACGAGCCGAGAACCCCGATCCCCGATGGCGCGTGCGCTTCCTCAAGAAGAAGGTGATGCAGATGGTGCGGGACGGAGACAAGCCGCTCACGCGGGAGCAGCGCGTGCGGCTTACCGAGAAGCAGCACACGAGCGCCAGCACGTACCTACCTACCAGCACCAAGAAGCTGATGTTCCTATCGCGCCAGATCGCCGGCAAGACGGTCGACGACGCCATCACGCAGATGCGCTTCAGCAAGAAGAAGATGGCCCGCGAGGTCAAGTGGCAGCTGGAGGAAGCGCGCGACAACGCCATCGTCGCCCACGGCATGGGACTCGGCGCCGCAGACGGCAAGACCCTCGAGAAGCCGCGCAAGATCCAAACCAAGGACGGCCGCTGGGTCGAGGTCAATGACCCGACGACCTTGTACGTCGACCAGTCCTGGGTCACCAAGGGTCCCTGGCGTGGCATCCGCGTCCAGTATCACGCGCGAAGCCGCATGTCGCAGATGTGGCGGCCAACAGCTGGTAAGTGTCCGAGCATGAATTCATCTGCCCTCCCTCCACATGCCCCTTTATCCAAACATGACTATAGACATAGGCTTTTCAAGCCGTCATGCCCCCCCCAAAAAAAAAAAAAGCGATAGCTAACGAACTCTCCTATCTATAGCCATCTCCCTCGTTCTAAAAGAGGAGAAGACGAGAATGCGACAGTACGACGAGAAGGTAGAGAAGCAGGCGCGGAAACGCCCATGGGTGCATCTGCCGAACCGGCCGGTTACGGCACAGAGGCCTTACTACAGCTGGTGAAGAGCAAATAGCTAGTCTAGTGCAGGGGTCAGATATGATGCATGGTGATATGGTTGTGAATAGCAGTCATGATTGCATATGCTTCTATGTAAGAGATTCGTATCATCTCGATACGTGTACCATAAAAGAAGAAATCAACTCGGCTGAGAATACGCAATGGCTCTCTCTCTTCGAGACAGGACCTTGCAAAAACATTACAAAGGAATTAAATTTGCCGTCTAAGCAGCGATATTTGCGTCATCTGTTTATGGGTTTCTACCAGCGAACCTTAAATACAATAAAAAAGGGGGCCATCTGATCTGCAAAGCTGGCCAGCAAAAATTAATGTCACGTAGCTACGTATCACAATCAACTACAAAACGCGATCGTTGTTGTTGCTGCTTTCATGCCAATAAATAGCAAAGCTTCATCTCGAGTCCATCCCCTTCTGTAACTACATCATTCGGTTTCTGCGTCTTGATTGTAATTACCAGTTCCATCTCTCGTACGTAAATCGGTGCGATTAAACTGGGGAAACCTCTCCTCTCTTTTAGACCTCCAAAGTAGGTCGTTAGAACACCAGTGGAATTACCACGAAAACGAACCGAGTCCATACTACAACCATCGGCAATAGATCCTTGGAAGGGATGGTGTGGATATCAGGTTCCTAACTCATAAAAAAAAAACCATCCGCAAACTCAACAAAGAAATCCCGATCGGAAATAGCTTGACGCGTAGAATTGTGCGCAAGGGGTGTCGATTAGATCATAGTTCGGGGCTGCGTTCGCGGCGACAGATCCTCATAGGGGCGCGCATTGGCATCAAGTTCCGAGGCATACGACGCAGTGGATGGCGAATACGGACGAGCCATAGGCGAAGGGGTGCGCTCCGCAGACTCTGGTGGTGGTGCCGACGGCGTAAAATCCTTAGACAAAGTAGGGTCAGGTAGGCGAACACCTTCGGCGAACTGTCGTCCAGATCCTGGAAGGGGCTTCGAGATCTGCATGGTCTGGGCGCGCTCTGGTTCGGGTGTCTTTGATCGGCGACGGAGAAGACAGAAGGCGATGATCATCACCAGAACTGCTGCAACACCAACACCCGCGCCAATCCCGGCTCTTGCGGCAACACTCAAACCACTATCCTGGTTAGGGGATGATCCTTCATCAGTCTTTTCTGCCGATGATGTCGCTCCGGCGGCGACGGCTGAATTACTACTAGTAGCTGACGGTACTGATGACTAAATAAGAAGTTAGTATTTCACTCATCGCGGTAAAATGGAAGCATAATGAAACATACAGAGGTAGCTGCGGAAGTCTTTGCAGGTGCTGATGATGCAGTGGTAGTGGTAGTGGAAGTGGCAGCGGGGGTCGAACTGGAAGCAGTCGACTCAACTGATGCAGCAGACAAGCCCGACTCGGAGGCAGAACTTGGGCTTGGCTCAGGGGCCTTAGTAGTTTCCGCTGCCGCAGTCGAGGAAACTGACTCAGCAGCCTGCTCGGTGGGTTGAGGCTTAGCGGAAGAGGCCGGCGTACTAGGGGTTGGTGTGGGAGAAGGCAAAGCACCAGCTGCAGATGACGCGGCTAAAATCTCCTTGTTAATTAAGAGGTCTTTGTAGAATACTAGGAGGACCTAGGTTGCTGCTATGGTTGCTTACCTTGGCATTCGTTGTTACCGTAACCCTGAGCGATCGAAATCTGTGCTGCAGCTACATCGCTGGGGCATGCCTGGTTGATACAATCGCGGATGCCATCCGAAAAATCAGCACCCTTTCCGCAGACACAAAGGCGATCATTCATGTCGCATCCCATAGCGGCTGAATTGGCGAAGACGCCATTGACGCAACCCGACTAGATAATAAAACCCACGTCAGTTATAAAGCCCATATGTATACACTGGATAGAAAGGGAGGGTTAATCCAGCCAAGCATATCAGCCAGATAATTAGGCTGCTGCATTTCGAGCGGGTTCTACTTACAGCGCAAGGCAGGAGACCGGCATCCTGAGCGAGACCTTGGCCCAAGAAAAGGGCAAGGGAGGCGAAAACGGTGATGAACATCATCGTGAGATCCGTGACGGTGAGTATAGACTCGCAAGTAATATTTCAGAGGATGGTATGATACGTAATATGTCGATGACCAATCGACAGAACTCCGCAAACTAGGCGGGAAGAAGTTGAACAAGAATCGAAGTTGAATATCGGGGGTATCTCAAGTTGAAAGTGGCCAAGCTAGCTGGCCGAGTTGAAGAATAGACAATAGAAGAGAACTGCGTAGGACGAAACGAGAAAATGTCACAGTCCCACGAGGCAGCCCATGGCTATTCTGAGTCGGAAGAATGGTGAGTAGAAAGTTCAACGGCGAACTGAGGCCGGATAGGAATTATGAGAATCGGAATTCAGCAGGTCGACGACTTGTGCAAGGTGATCCAAAGTCGCGGAAGTCCGTGTGAAATCGCAAGGGCTAAGGTAACCTAGCGGGAAAACACTTGACGTGTAGGAAACCTGAAGTTCGCAGTAGTCAAACAAACACTTTCTAGATGGTTGAAGTGTTTTCGTGGTGCTTGTCCCCGCCGTTTCCGTTTGCGTTTGCGTAGGACTTGGTACTTGACGTTCAACTCAACGAGGTTCAACGAGGTTCCTCGGGCAGTATGCAGTATGCAGTATGTACGCAGCCGAGGTGACTGAGAGGGGAAAAGGTTACCAGAACTAAGGGAGTAAACTCAAGGATCCCTCCAGGAATAGAAGTCGACGAATGATTTTTACAAATGAATGGAAAGTGGTCGGTGACCGATATGTACGATACCCTTTAGGTATGAGGTATGAGGTATGCACGATGGAAAAAAAAAAAGGTACGAAAGGAATGAAAGTGGACTAGAAGTCAATAACTGCCGAATGGAATATCCATAGGGAAGGAAAGAATGGAATTGCCAGAATTGCCCACTACGTTCTGGATGCAGTCGCAGTTGCAGTTTGCATGTGCAGGAGAGAAGGCTCAAGGGACCTTGTCGGCGTAAAATGGCCCATGACCCATGAGACGAGTGTAATTGTATCGGGAAGGTTGCTGAGGAAGATTGGAGGATATGATTGGTCAATAATTCATCCTAGCAAACAAGGATTGTGGGGCTGTGCCTTTCACCTCAAACAGTCGAGTACGACCTTAGCCTGTATCTACGTACCAATTAGATTGGAATACTCTATTGAATTGACCCAATTGAATCAAATATCGTGGTAACTTATTCTTTGCCTACCATATTTGGATAAAAGTCGACGGTAATTGGCCGATTCTTCATATGAAAATGCCTTGGGCTCCTTTTTGGATATATGCCTTGCGGAATCGAGCGTCGGTCAATCTATCTAGGTGAATTTATCATCTCAGATAGTTCTTACGAATTTTACGAACACCTGCCTCGTCCAGCCAAGCTTTTAAAATACTGACCTGTATACTGACCTGTAGTATCCGGTTATACTCATTGAAGATCCCGTCAGATATCTTTCATGATCATCATAAGAGTACGCTCCTAATTCCTAATCGAATCCCGCTGGTGGCACACGTGGTTTTGTCGCACGAGTAATATTAAAGGTGATATGAAAAGGGATTGCATCAATCAGAAGATTGAAAATAGGAAACCCTATGTTACAAGTCTCGTTAAAGTTGAGACTAACGAGACTGAGACTGGCGAGACAGACGAGACAGGCTAAACCCCAGACCATGTCGTCAATGCCATCGTCATCCACAACAGGGGTAACACGCGGTATCATGGTACATATTACGCCCTCCAAACTTGGCGTGGCGCTCTTATATTGCAAAAGTATCGTGTACAGTATCTCGGTACGTATCGCTTATGCTTTTGCGAGATTGGATGGATTTGAAGAGAACTAGATCTTCACAGGGGCAGGAAACAACGCGCCGCGAACCACAAACATCAAACACCACAAACAACCGCATGCATGCACCACAGATACTACCTAACAAAAGTTACAACTTCACTACTTACCGCTTCTCAGGAGCTTCCAGATCTCCATGTCATATGGAGATCACCCGCTATTTACATAATACACTACTATTACCCAAGTCCCCGAAGTTCCCGTTTCCAAGCAACGAGAGTAAATTTCGGCATAAATTACAATCGATGCACTGTAGATCCAGGGTATTTAAATCCAGGGTATTTAAATCCAGGGCCTTCAGACCCCGTGGTCCCCTTATGGCCTTATGGGCGCTTCCACTGGTGCCATCACCCTTTACATAGCTCCCGAAAAACTCGTCATCAGCCGCCGGTGACTGTTTATGCGAAGCGGATCCCCTAGTCTTGGCATTTTCCGCGTTTAATACCCATCTTACTAATGGTCCGTTTTACATAGAACAAGCCATGCGATGTGTTGATCTTTTTTTATAGGTGTGCGTCTGCTGATATGTACCTGTGTCTGCTAATACCGACAAGAGCGTCGCAAGGCTAGTAGGTAATGTTTAATTGATGGCCCCACGACAAGCAAAGACATCTTGCAACTCGTATCACTAAGGCATCGTCTCTTCAGATTGGCCAGATCAATCCATTGCCGCCCACGTTACACTAAAATTCAGCTCTGGTTAAAATTAGAGGGGGATGGCCTCTTGTCAATCAGTTAAAAGATTATCATCGATTCCCAGTGCGCGGGAAATTAAATTACGTGCTCTGAGCGGCACTGACGATGACGCTCTCGATACGTTACTTTTCAATCTGACCTAATATACACTTAGGACTAGATATCATGATCGATTTCGCTATCCTCGTTACCGTCGCATTCTAGGATTCCCTGGGCTGTGAAGGATCGAGTAAGTTTGTTGTTCCTTCGGAAGCCATGACTTCGGTAACCCAGGATCTTTTCTACATTGCTAGTCATTACTTGATGGATTCGAATCTCGTTCGATCCGTATCTTTATTATTACTATATGAATAGGAACGCTATTACTTAAATGCAATTAGCTGTTTTCTAGTAGCACTTTTTGTGAAGCTCTCGTGGCAAATAGGAGCATAACCGGTGTGGTGGATAGGTCCGTCCCGTCCCCGTCCCGGGTTGAAAGGCTCGTATTCATGGGAGTTTATCGGGTGCTATACGGATTGGTGTAATAGTGTCACTAAGGAATTTTCGCTTGTGACTAGTGAATACCTCTTAGCAAACTCTCCGATTCGTCGACCCGCCCCTAACAATTGCTAACGAGTTCAAAATTTGTGTCTACT